AACTGAATCTGCTAACAACTTAATCTTGGACTCCTCAGCCCCCAGAACTGTGAGAAATAAATTTCCGTGTTTAGCCACCCGTCCCGCGGCATTTTTGTTACAGCAGCCTGCGCAGTCTAAGACAGTTACCCAACCCTCTTTGGGGCCCACAGAGTACTCTGCCCGTGTCCCCATTCCAGCTCTAACGGTAGGGTCATTGAAGATTTACTTATCTGTCTTCTCCAGGCTGTGGGCTCCCTGAGGAAAAGTTTGCTGTTGTTTCTCTGATAGGTACCTGGCACCCAGCAATACACTATAGGTTTATGTAAAAGTAAAAAGCAATAGAAGTCTTACCTCTGTTCAACTTGAAGTTCCTCTTGGTCAAGGATGTATGTCTGATTCACCTTAGCATTCCAAGGCAGGATTTGCTATAAGGTAGATGCTGAGCAGTGTATCAAACGCATGAATAAATTCATGATAGAAAAGAGAATTTGTCATTAATGTCACATGGGAGAACACTGGCTCCTCGAGGCGGGGAGCCACTGTTAGACATAGCTCTGTTGCGGCCAAAGAGCCCCAGAAGGAGGGGTCAGCCACACTAGGCGGGGGCTGGTTTCACTTCCTTCTACAAATTGTGTTGAATTGCAATGGAAAGCACTGTTCCCCTGACTTCCGCCTGCCCACCCACCTCCTTGCTCCTCAAAGGCAATGCACAGAACCGTTGCTGTTCCCCTCTCCCTTCCCCCACTCTTCATACTCAAGCCCTCGAGGCCTCGGTTCAGTCCCTCACACTTTTCCTGTCTCCTCCCTAGAGTTATCTTCTGTGGGGCTGGCGGGTTGGCTTGCAATATGTGAAGGTAGGCTGGCATCCAAGCAGCTCCCAAAGATTTCACTGTCAAAGCAGAGTGGCCTGGAAGTGGCCTAGAGCTGATGGACCCGGAGGGGCTGGGCCAGGAGTGATGGGGGTGACTCCTCAGTGGTGACCAACCGGGACCACACGACGTGTCAGCAGAGGCCACCGTGTCCGTTGGACTTAGTGGCAGTGGCAGGACCCGGGGGACCAGGCAAACTGCCCTCCCTAGCTCTGCTCTCTCCAGAGCCTCCTTCCCTCCATTAGGAAGGGACAGTTAAAAACATTTTTTTTTCAAAGAACAAGTAACTATAAAATAATTTCTTAAAAATATATATATATAACATATATATATATATATATATAATTTTTATGTTTATATATCAATGGCATAAAAAATGATGTGGTGGGTATCCTCATACTCACTCCTATCCCCTCACCCCCATGCCACCCTCTCCCAATTCTGGCTCCTTCCTTCCACCTTACAGGAAACCACTTTCCAAGGTTTTGATTTACAGGGTTTTTTTTTAATATTTATTTGATTTTGAGAGAGAGAGAGAGAGAGACAGAGCATGAGCAGGGGAG